ATCGTCCAGGACTCACTCAGAGACAACCTCCTCTGTCAGGTCATCTGGAATGCCCATCCCTGCTCCCGGCCTGCACACACTTGGGTGGAAAGCGTGCTGTGTTCAGCGTCGACTGTTTGGAATGTCTGCGTGTTGGCCTGCCTCTGTCATAAAAGTGTGAGGTTCTTGAGGAAGGGGCCAAGTTTTAATTAGCTGCTTGGAGGTAGTGTATCACATAAGACTTGGGACATAACAGGCACTCATTAAATCCACAGAGTATGAATGACTAAACTAATATGTAAATATGAGACAAAATCAAGAGCAGAACGTTCTGCATGGGAGGATAAATGCAGTGTTACGTGGCTGAAGGGCAGGGGGATGGCGGAGGCTTCCTGTTTGTCTTAGTTACTTTTCACTCGTTGTTGGGAGAGAATCCGCAACACCCAAAATTAAAGAAGGAAAGGTATATTTAGCTCACAGTTTGTGGAAGTTTTAGTTCATACTCCGTTGGCTCCAAGGCAGCAGTTAATGGTGGCAGAAAAGAAGAGAAGAGAAGAAAAGGAGCGGCAGCTGCAGTGCCCAGCAAGCTTCTCTCTCCCTTCTGTGCTGACTGCCAAGACCCGCACTCCACAGCGAGGATCACAGCCCTCCAAAGTGACACAGCTGCAAAGTGGCACGACGAAGACCAGAACTTCTCCAAGGAGGCAGGGAGGGACAGCAGAGAAGTCTTCCTCAACTCCTTTCTAATACATATTTTGTGCTGAGTCACTCTGGGGCAGCCTGTCATGCCCTAGGGTAGAACCAATCGTGCCCCAGTTCAGGCCCTCCGGGCAGGGTCCCCACAGCCGGAACTGCCTGAGCCCATTCATCCAAGTTGACACACATATCAACCACTACACTGTTTAAGCAGACAGTGGTGTTGGAATTTGAGACAAATATGAACTTCCATAGACAGAGTGGTTATGTACACTGATGCATTTGATAGGGAGGAGTTGTCTGCAGAGAAAACCAGAATTTTCTAGAAAAGTTTTTTGCAACCAGATACCTGCTTTGATTTGGGGTAGTACTTCAATAACTAGACTAAATTCCCTAAGATGCTGTCTGACTAACAGGTGTGTAGAAGAGGGTGACCAGAGTCTGCCTTTCTTGTACCGCATTTCTCCTACCCCGCACAGCCTCCAGGATAGTAGACCTTGCCCAGGACACCCCAAGGAGCACTCTTGGCATGAAAGGGACCTTGTCCCCTGTGACCAAGGGCTCTACCTCTCCTTTTTGGCATGGCCATTCACCAAAAACCACTCAAACAAAAAGCTCCATGCAGCCTGACCTAAAAGTGGGTCTCAGGAGCTGAGGAGCACTCCGGGTCATGTGGCCTTGACCTTCTTCTTCAGGATCCCTGCAGCAGACCTGTACCCCATGCCTTCCGATTTATGAGCCTCCGTGACCTCAGGTGCTTGAGATTGTTCCAGGGACTGAGGGGAGAGAGACCACCTGAGGAAGCTGTAGAAGCAGCCACAGCTGCTTGTTCCCTCCCATGGGAGTGGGCTGAGTGCAGAGCGACACACCAGCAGGAAGCAAGGGGAGAACAAAGGAGTCATAGGGAGGTGGAAGAGCTTGCTGCCTGGAGGAATTTGAGGGACAAGGGTAACTAACAGGGAGTGCCCCTCCAAACCTGCGTGCTTGCGTGGGGGCCGATGCATGGGTGCTCACAGTTCTCCAGATGGGTATGCACACAGACACGGCTTTGTTCTTCTATGATTTCTTCTGTGCCTGCTAGTAACAGCCTCATTCAGGCCTGACAGAAGCCTCAGCCCTACTGGCTATCTCGTCCGGCCCTTCTTCACCTCCCTCGTCACTTCTCTTCAGGGATCATCCTTTTGTTGTTGAACCAGGGAGCCAGGAGTCAAGCGAGGTAGACCTTAGTTCTGCTAAGTCTGTCCTTTTTTCAGTGCTTCATCATTTTGAGTAGGAAAGATGAACTTCGGGTGTCATACAGGCCCAGCCGGTACATGCTCTGGCCTTCGGTTCCTTCATGAATAAACTCGAGCGCCGAGCTATGTAATACCAAAAGTTCCAGCCAGCTCTAGCTGTCTTTGACTGTGCTGATAAAAATCTACTTAAAGACACGGGGCAATTTTGAAGCTCAGTGAGCAAGTGTTTGCATAGTGCTTTGGGTTGCTGGAATGTATATGAAACTACAAATGAGAGATTAGCAGCATTCTAATGTATGTGTATTTCCAAGTGTCTCTATTACATCTGCATAGTTAAGGTGGGAGAAAGCTGCGACATATTCCCTCACTGACTGTTCGCTTCCAAATGAATAAGACATTTTCAGAGCAATCCTTTTCAACAAGTCATAAAATTAACTACGGGTAAAGATAATGTTACAAACATCTTAGGGCTTTCACGCATGCACACCCAGCCATACTTTGGAAGGCAATATTAGGTATCATCAGGCATTAAAAATGTTTTAGTTTAAAAACACTTAATGAGGATTCCCAGATAAAACATCCCCATCTGCTGTCTTGCATGGTAGGTAATATTTTACTATTGCACAATCATCTCCAAATCTAATTCCACCAGGAAGACTTCTAATCGCAGTTTAATTTTAGAGCAATATTCTGGTTGGCAATCAATAAGGCACTGTCGTCAAACTTGGATTTAATAGGAGACGTGGATAACACGCTCCATGTGAGAGAAAAGAAATACTGTCAGGATGGGGGAGAAAAAAAAGAATGGCTTTGTCTTCCACTTCCCCTGCTGTATACCATTCTAGCTCACAGAAGCTTAGAAATCGATGCCCCCGTGTTGTGTGAATATAAATCTCATCAATTTTGCATCATTAGCACCATGAAAAAGCTACTGCTCTTGGAGCAGTTTTCCTCTGCCAGCTAAATAAGGCCTCTTGAAAAAGCAAAAATAAGTGGGTCTTAATTATTCAAACTACTTCCTCTTTCTACTTTATTTCTAACAAAAGCAGAATTGTACAACTGTCTTACTCTACTTGAGCGATAAGTTGACTGGCAGTGATACCAGTGTTGTGCTTGTTGTCTAAGGGGCAGTGGGCCATGTGGATGGGGGAGGTCAAGGGGTGAGTTCTAAGGCAATCAGAGTGGTGCCTCGTCAGCCCCTGGGGATCCAGGCAAGGCTGCAGTGTGGGAGGGCTGAGCTGACAGAAGCCTGGTAGCATGCACTGTGCTAAGGCATGGACATTTCAAGAAGTTCATGGCCTAGAACCCATGAGAGCCAGAGGTCCACAGTGCAGGAGACTGCCTTCTAGGTGGAAGGGCCTAGTGGCTCAAGGATCTGGGGAGGCGGGACCAGACCCCAGAGAATTTCTGCTCCAGTAGGTCCCATGTTCACATGACTAACTTGCCCTTTGTGGTATTTCTCCCACCCTCTTTGGATTAAGTAAAAGGAAAGATGTTATATATCTGAAAAAACCATTCATTTCCCTCCTGGAGCTGCTAACTAATCACAGCTAATTGTTCAAGTATGAGCTAAGGAATATGATAGTAAGTACATATAAACTCATTTGCAATCAACTGGTTTCCAATCAGTATAAGTTTCTGTTAGTCTTGTGACATTTTGAAATTTGATTGGATCCTCTTTCTGTTGCTTTTAGTGACCCCTGTAGACCCTTGATGGACCCTTGGGGAATAAACCTAGGACCTTCTCATTCAGTTACATCTTTTATTTTGAGACCAGGTCTTACTAAGTTGCTCAGACTAGACTCAAATTTGGAATCTTCCTGCCTCAGCCTCTCTGAGTGCTGAGATTATTGGTGTGAGTCTTTGATGCATACCTTTCATTTGCTACAGGGGTGGAATGAGAGCTAAAGAGGTTCAGGAGGTGTTTCGTGTTCACAGAGCTGATGGAATTCAAGCCACTTGATGCTCACTATAATGAAAAGGCTCTTTAGAAGGACTTTGAACATAGCACATGCAGGCAAATGCATTGATAAGCCTTTACAAAATATGGTGTGATGAAGACTGCTGCCAATAGATTTAAAATGGGGGGATCATGAGTATCATTATCCCCTAGTGACGCGGTGAACACGTGTTGAAGCTCAGACAGTAAAGTCAGAAAGGTTGCTTTCAAAGGATTTTCGGATCATTGATCATCAACCCCAGCTTACTTTTAACAACTGTGGATGGAGCATGGGCAGTACAGCGTGCTAGGATGACAGCGCAGGAGGACAGAACCTGGGTGGAAGACAGACAAGTGCTGACATGGCAGAGGAGGAAGCCGTATGAAAGCAAGAACCCAGGGAACTGGGTGAGGAATTCATCAGGATGTTCAGATCCCTTAACCTTTCTACACAATCACATGAGAGGGCAGGAGTATTCCTGTACTGAGAAGAATTGCATGCAGGTGATGCTATTTCAGGGAGCCATTGAAAGGAAAAGGAGACTTGGGCAAGCTGACAGAAGAACATGCATTGAAGACAGAGAGACCAGCCTATGACATGCCCCAGAAATGTGTGATCCCACACCCATCCTAAATGGTAACTCAGGACAAAATAGAGAAAAATTGCTCTTCAACACATTCCCTCACCAACTTCTGGGAAAGTCCCACAACCAGGCAGAGCTCATATCAGCAGTACTAGTGGCGCCCCCTGGAGTTGTTCAGGGCACATCCTTTACCACAGCATGCAGGATGCATGGGTATATTAAGTAAGGAGCCGAAGGTTGGGCTGAAATTTGTTATGAAAACAGCTGAAGCAGACCCACACCGGCTAACTCGCTCTGTCTAGTCTGGCAAGAGGAACAAAGCCTCATCCACAGATGCCCACCCTGCATATGAGCAGTCCTGGTGCTCTCTCTGGTCTCAGCATTAAAACCCTGGAGGGGAACCTCCATTTCTCAAGGGCAAGCGCGGCTCTTTTTACTTCCATCTGGTTCCAAACAGCTTTTCCAAAGCCCCGTGGGCTTGTTCACACGTAGCTGAGACACATTTCTTATTGATCAACAGCTCGAAGGGAAGGTTCTGAAATGCCCTCTTCCTCTTGTCTCTGATAGGCCCTTCAGCATCATCATGCCGTTCACGAAATCTCCTACATTGCAAAGGACATCACAGATCACCGGGCCTTTGGATATGTTTGTGGGAAAGAAGGGAATCACAGATTTGTGGCCATAAAAACAGCCCAGGCGGTGAGTATGCTGCTTATCCCAAAAATGTGCATCCTCGTGACTGGGGGCAGCACGACCACTCTGTTGATCTTCACAGGCCTGCCCTGAGGTGTAACCATGTCACTCCTGGAAGTAGGTGTTCAGCTTCCTGTCTAGAAAAGATGAATGGCTTTGGAGCAACAAATGTGTTCAGATCCCTTGGTTTGGGTTTTTTGTTGTTTTCATAATGGGTATTTCCTAATGACTAATTATTTTTCTTTCTGATTAAGCTAGATAGAGACACATATACAATGTTTCCTTGTGCTCATAGCCTCATTTAAGAAGAAAATAAGAGATAACAAATAGCTGCTTTGCATAAGGCCTGCCCCAATTTTATTTTATTCGAAATCACTAATAAATAAAAGCATTGCCTTTTATGCTTATGATTATTATGAATTTGCAAATATAATTAGTTGAAGAAATGAACTTTAGCCTAGATGCAATTTGCTAAACCAATATAAACAAGGTAGAATTAATTAAGAATGGAATGCTTTCAGTCTAATAGAAAAAGGAAGGGCTGCGAGATGTAGCCACAAAAAAACAAAAACTGGTGGCTGCCACATGGTGCTATTTCCTTATTAATGTGCCTTACACCTTTCACTCCAGGCTGAACCTGTTATTCTGGACTTGAGAGATCTCTTTCAACTCATCTATGAATTGAAGCAAAGAGAAGAACTGGAGAAAAAGGCACAAAAGGATAAGCAGTGTGAACAAGCTGTGTACCAGGTATACCTGTGAATTTGTCCGGGTGCAGAAGAACAGAGCAGGGCTTTAAATACACACATGTGGAAACTGCCAGTGAGGCCTGCGCCTCCCGCCACCAGCAAGCATGCACAGAGATGAAGGGTCCTGCATAAATCACAGGCACCCAAAGCCAGCCATCAGGATGATCTCTTATTCTCTAAAATTCCAGATATGCTAGAGAAAGTAAGATCTTTAATCCAAAAGAAGGTTTCAGGGAGGAAAACAAAAGACACACAGTTGCCTTTGCTGCTTTTAACAAAGGGGTTGGGGTGGGGATGGCTACAGGGGCTTGACTTTGTCTGCATTTTCTATAGTAAAGACCCACCAGCTTGTCCTCCCAGAGCCGATTTCTGTACTGTCCTCTAATTTCTGAACACAATCTCACGTCTTTTCCTTTGTGTCCTCTGCTTTTGCTGACCCTTCCCTTACTGGGAAAGACAATTTTGGAAGAAGATGTTGAAGATCCTGTATACCAGGTAATTTCCAAGATGAGTCAGGGATCCAGGTGTGTTGTGTCCGGGCCGCCATCTTGTAAGAAACCTGAGGAGCCCATGGATGGCAGGACCTGGAGGGGAACCAGGGGCAATTCTGGGGATGAAGGCTCCAGCTCTTCCCTTTCCCATCCACACTACCAGAAGTCTGGCCTGCCCCAGGAGCACGGGCTCAGCACCCCGCTTCTCCCCTCTTGCCCGGCCTCAGCTCCCTGTACAATCTGTGAAAGTTTGATTCCAGAGCTGAATGTTTTAAATCTGTTGAATATTCTAAGTTCATTAGAAAGATGATGAATAATGAGGTGGCTTTTCAAAGTTAAAAATTAGAAACAGGGCCTGACATTTTGGTGACATTTGAGCACCCTGCTCTTGTCACAGGGGCTGGCGTGAGGACAGGGAGATCCCAGGAGCACCTCTGCCAGAGCTGTCCACACCCTCCTCAGGCGAAGCCCACCGGAGGATCGGGATGACCTCTGGGGCTCAAGTGTGGGCTCTGTTCCAAAAGAGACACAGAAAAAGGGGCAGAAGCGCCCCTGCCCCCACCCCATGCTGATTCTTAAGGAGTGAAAGGAGGCCCAAAGAGTAAAAACCAAACCCACATTTTTTAAAACATTAAAAAAAAGGAAATGTGCCACTTGTCTTTCTTACTGGGGTACTTGCTGTTGCCTGTGTGTGTGCTGCATACGCATTGTATGGCAGTGTGTACACTCACACACAAAGCGGGTACCACTGTACTGAAGTAAAATAACATACACAGCCTAAAGGGTGAGAATTCTAGCCTACATAGGGGGAGCAAAGGTGAGAAAGGGGAACTCAGTGGCTGTCCTTGCTTTCAAATGCTCACGGGTAGAGCTGTTCACAGCGTATGCGTTAGCTCCTGCCCAAGTCGCTCATAGAGAATGACAGATGGCAGCCTTTCTGAAATGGATTTTTTTTGCGTCTACCACATGAATGTGCACAAATTCATATTCAATATTTAAAACTGAGGGGGCTGGGGAGATGGCTCAGTGGAATAAGTGCTTCCCTGGCAAGTGCAAGGGCCTGAGTTCAATCCCGGGTTCTGCCAAAAACAATATATTTAAAACTGAGGAAATAAAACAAGGTGATGTTTATGTACCAAGGGAATCTGAACTCTTAAGAGTTCAACTCTCGTGAGCGAACAGGAGTAACTCAGATATAATGCAGACTTTGGAAGGTTGTGGCACCAGGCATTTCCATGAGGCAGCGGGGCCAGCACCACCACCCATCGCTGAGACCCACTGGTGCTGAATCGAGAGGTCCTATGTCCAGGAAGCCGTTGCTGCAGGTTGTGCCAGCAGAGCTCTGCGGTGAGGCCTGGCAGTGCGACCCAATTTCCCGCCTGAGTCGGGATGAACTCGCGAGATGTTTTCTCTTGTGCCTGTTTTGTGAATTTCGTGAATGCTCACTGTGATTTGCATCCTGAGTTCCAAATGCTTTTTTCTCCTCTTCTCTTTCTCACTTCTGACCTTCCTTCTCTGGCTGCTCCTGCAATAGTACATTGTGTTTGAGGCTGGACACGAGCCAATCCGTGACCCAGAAACGGAAGAAAACATTTACCAGGTACACGATCTCTTGCTTCCTACTGTCTCACCTCCTCCCATAAACGCGAAGCATTCTGGTGGGTCTGTGGGACCCCGGGGCCCTCGGTCACTCGGGCCTGCTGAACCTTTGGACACACTGGCTTCTAGTTCCCCAGCAACTTAGCAGTCGTTCCGTCTTGTTGAAATCACTAACGGTCTAGTAGGTATGGTGCTTTAATTCTGAGTGGATAGTAGCTATTTTAGAGAAAAACAAAAGTCAAACATTTCACTGTAATAAAGCAGCACATTGGAGAATTGTTGTCACAGTCTCCCTTCAACTTGCAGAAGAATCGACCCATCTTTTTTTTTATTTTAAAGGCCAAATCCATGACTGAAAATAAGTGTGAATTCAAACATGCTATTTGAAAACCATATTAGGAATATTAATGGAATAAAGGAAAGTATGTCTAAAGGTTTTTCTCCCTCCTGAAAGAAAGGGAAATTACTTTTTTAAAATATCTATTGGGTGAAAAATATTGAACACACCTTTTAGCTCATTGAATTCTCACAAAAATGTTATAAAATGTCTGAGTCCCATTTTTATAAAGGAAACCGAGGTTCCGAGGAGGTGAGGCACTTGCGCAGGGCCGTAGGGCTTCCTAGAGCCCAAGCTGGGTGTGGGTGAGGGCAGAGCCTGGGCTGCCCCTGCCTTTCACCACAGCACTGGAGTAACTGCAGCTCCCTGGAGTCACACATCAAATAGAAACGACCACCTGCAATTTCTCGCTAATTAGAATTTTAGTCCTAATTTAAAACATAAATACTATGGAAGAAGAAAAAACTTAATATATTTAATCAGTGATTTTAATTTCGTTCATTTACATAGTTGTGGGCTCCACTATCCTTCCTTGGGCACGTATTACTGCATAATGAAAGTAAAACACATTTTCAAGTTCTCTCAAATATGTAGAATCCAAATGATCAAATAGAATATTATTTCTGCCAACACTTTGGTTTACGCCAGCCTTGTGGAATCATAATCGATTTCCCTCACCTGGAATTTTTATTCAAATGTGAGATTGCACGTTGAGATTTCATTCAAAGTCTTTGTTCACAAACTTTCTCTCTTGAAAAAGCAAAGTTGTACTATTCCCCACTGTCAGGTTGGAAGGCACTGTGCAGCCTTGCCGTGCCTGAAAAGGACACCAAAGGAGTCGCTAACCCGCTGTCCTAGGAGCAGAGGGAGGCTTTGTAGCACGAGGGGTTTCCGAAGCCGGTCTCAGCAAGGCTACCTGGGCCTTGGGGAGGGTGTGCACAGATGGAGGTGCCGCTGTGCTGCAGGGAGCCGGCTGAGGCCGCCGGAAGCTGCCTTATGGTTTCAGCTCTGTCACCAGCTACCTTTAGCTTGAGGTCAAAGGGAGACCTTCGCTCCTTTGAGACTCAGCCTCCCCAGTGATAAAGCAAGGGACGGATTTCTCACTGATTCCCAGGTCTGTGTCAGGGTGAAACAAGCTGAAGTGTAGAATGTGAATAAGGGCTTGGCCCCGGGTGACAGGAGGAAGGGGCCAGCTGTGTGATTCAGATCCTAGCACAGGTGTCCGTGTGGCTGTGCATTCAGTGTAACAGGTTCACCTCTGTCTGGGCCACAGACTACAGATTGGGGAAATGAGGAAGACTTAGACCATTTCCTGTGCTCTGCAGCTGCCGCCTCACCTGAGACTCGGGTTCTTTGGCTCGCTGTAGCAGGCCACCCCACTCGTAGAAATGGGAACATGACCTGGCTCTGTGAATGGAGTTGAGAAGCCATGTAGCTCTCCTGACACCCCTGTTTTGTGAAGCATATTCCCACCTGACACACAGGGAACGCGAGGCCCACAGAGGTGAGGGATCGCACAAGTCACAGAGCTAGGGAATGATCAAATCTCCACACGCAGCTCTCTGTGACCTCTGCATGAATCCTAGAGCTCTTCTGGGCTCTGTGTGTCCTGACTCTGAGTTTCACACTTCGATTCTGGACCTGTTTTAAGTCACTGTCTGAAGATCACTTGCTTTCACAGCTCCAGCTTCCTGGTCTGCCCATCTGCCCACCATTACCAAGAGGGCCCGTGTAGGAGGATGAATATTTATCCCCCTCTATTGGAGAAGCCTCTGGCCATTTTCCTATCCTGCCCTGCCAGTTGGTCCAGGAGCAATGTATTTAACAAGAGATAAGAGAGCTAATCAGGGTGGGAGATAAGCTCAGCTTCTAAGGCACTGCTGGAAGGAGCCTCGGTCTTTTCTTGAAGGGTTGCAGCACAGAGCCCCTGCAGGCGTTGTTCTGCTTCAGACTGAGCTTGGGGGTGACCTCAGGCCTTATTCTTCTCCCTTGCCCCGCCCAGCACAGCAGCTCTACCTGGGACCTAACCCTCTTTTAACTGTCTTGTGGCCTTTGGAAAGTACATAATTTGTACATCTCCGTTTCCTGGGCTGTAGAATGGAGATTGTCTTAGTCACCTTCTCTTCTCTGAGACTCAGTACTGACGCTCACAACTTAGAGGAGGAGAGGTTTATTTTGGCTCAGTTGGTTGAGGTCCCTACTCATAGTCAGCTGGCACCAAGGCTGGGCATCATGGCAGAGATATGTGGTGGAGGAGACAGCCCATGGCACGGCAGGCAGGACAAGTGGAGAGCGCAGGTGGCGTCTGCCGTGGGAGGACCCTGTTTCCGAGGATAAGATCACTTCCCAGAATGCATGGCTAATCATGACTGACTTTTGCTTCACTTGCCTCTGAAAACGTAACCAGTTGTCTTTAAAACAACATGAAGCCGCATGGGAGGAAGCTTGTCACATATGGCTTAATTCTAACCCTCCAAATACTGCAGGGAGACAGGAAAAGCAAGTTCAGTGACTGTCATTTGCTACCTAAGTTGTCTAGTCCACTGAGCTCAACGCCTCAGCGTCTATCTTCTGCATCCTTAAATGCCCCGGGGAGCTCCCCACAGAAGCGAGCCCTATGCTTTCCAGGTGGACATTTTTCACATTCATTTTTTTTCACAACTAATTCTTGGTCACCCCACCTGTGAATCATTTGAAAATGGCGGGGCTCTTGCCCTAGGTCAGCTTGAACTGCCTCCCCACACTTCCAACTAGTGTAATGCTAGAGTAAAAAATGTTTTGTGTATGGTACTATGTCATATACAGCTCTCAGGGTAATTTAATATTGATTAATTCATTCACTTAAATAAACATACATGGACACCTAGTGTGTGCCAGGCACAGGAAAAGAAACAGTCATGACCAGGGCATGGTGTTTACCCCAGGTTGATTGACAGCCCTTGAAATGTTTATGAAAATCAGATGAGGAAACTGAGGCCCAGAAAGCAAGTGACCACTGCATGTCACATACCCTGTGGCAGAGCCAAATTAGGAATCAGATCTTTCACTTTCTTTCTGACCAAAATTTTTATCACCATACATTTGGTGCTGTGCTCATCCATGTAAACGGACCTCTACAGATAGGAGAGTCAAACCATGGCCCTCAGCGACAAGTGATGAGCAAGAACTTCTTCGTTTAACTGACACATACAGGCAGGAGTATGTGGGGTAATAAAATACCCATCATGCCCTTAGCAAGCTTTGCTAGCTGTGGTACCATAGCCCCACAGATGGCTGCAGGGCGTATAGTAACTCCCACAGAAAGGTAAAGCACAGCTGGGCACCTGTTCCGTCTCTCCCAGCAAGGCCCAAGGCTCTGCTAAGCCAGGGGTCTTATCTGTTGGGTCTCATCCTTGATTGTCTGGGGAAAGCTCAGATGTGACACCTGATAGGTACTTGGTAATGTCTATGTTCTTAATGAAAGATGGACCTGAGGTTAGCAGAGTACAGAAACAGGCTCCAAACCAGGATAGCCTTCTGCAAAGTCCCAGCTGAGAGAAATCTTTCAGGACCAGCAAGCAGACTGGCGTCTCCCCCGTGGGAGAGCCAAGCAGGAGTTTGCAGTTATGCGCAATTGTGCTTTCCCATTGCATGGCCTGTTCTCCGTGTGCAGGGATAACTGAGCGGCTGCAGAGGCTCGGCGTGCTCAGTGCCAAGGTGAGCAGTGAGTTATAAGGAGCAGAACACGGTAGGTGTGCTCCTAAAGGGGAGCTAGTAAAAACAGCAGTCCGGCTGGTGATGTGGCAGCTCTCATTAACAAGGACTCCGGACATCCAAAGGGTTCCTTGTAAGTGTACATTCTTCACTGGCTCCCTGCAGCCTAGGATTGTAAAGACAGCTCCAGAAGAACATCTTCCCCTCAGCCATGCTCACTCACAGTTCTGTTCTGCAAGAAAGTTCACAAGCCTCTGGGCATGGGGGGTGACGTCAGAGAGAAGGGCACACCAGAAGCAGCCATCTGTGTGGGCCCGCCATCAAGCGGCCGCCTGCCCGGCCCAGTCCCAGGCAGCCCACTGCCCACCTCTGGACCCAGGTCGGGGCAGTCCTGATGGACTTGTCCTAGCACTCTGTGAGGATGTATTAAAATACATGCCCTGCTCGGGAACCCAACACATGGACAGTGCCCTGGGCATGTCAGCTTATACTTTCAATAGGAAATGTCTCCCTTGGTAGTCAGAAAGAGCAGGCTTTGGCGCCTACCACCTTTGAAACTTTGGGCAGAGTCCTTAACATCTCTGGGCCTCACTTTCCACTGGTTAGAGACCTGATAAGACCAACTTCTTAGCATTGTAAGTTCAACATGCATGGAAATGCTAAAGAATCTAGAAGCTTCATCCTCTTCACTGCCCCGTAATCCTCTAGTAGGGAGTTTGCCTGCAGACACTCATGGAGTGCGGACAGGCAGGAGGCACTGAGTCTGCCCCTCCCTGAGCAGCCCCATCTAAGGCAGGAAAGACCACCCCTGGTGGTCCTGGGCGGGCGGCCCCTGTGGTGGAGGTGTGGGCTGAGCTCTGGTACTGCTGGGGAAGGAGCCGCTGCTGAGTGCTTCCGAGCTGGAGTGTGCTGCGCGGAGCCTGGACCAGCTAGCAGCGCACTCCACAACCCGCTGCTAGTGTCCCACGGTGTGCTCATACGCATGGGTGTTTTCCTATGCATTACTTCTCATTGACTCCTTATAAGAATATGAGCAAGGAGGCACTGGCAACAGGCCGCATTTGTTATTAGTGTGGCTCAGAAGAGCCAAGTGACCTGCTCGGGCCTTGCCTTCAGCACAGGTAGGGAGGGCCAGGTAGGTCGGGAAGGCAAGAAGAAGGCGGGGGACACAGAAGTGTTGAAGGCCGTGGGTGTGCAAAGACCCTGATATTTACTGTATTTTTAGCAGCCCGCATCTCAGCCTCAGCACCGAGCAGTTTATGCTCAGCTACACACTGTTTTTAATATCTTTGGGCAGATCACAGCTCCTCCCTGGGCCCCACATTGGCCTTCAGTGGAATGAGGATGCCTTTCTCGCTGCAGGAAGTCCATAGTTTCTGCCCGGCTCCATGGAGCAGCCCCTGGGGCTGGAACTAGCCTGTCTCATCTCTTGTGTGCATTCCACCAGCTGGCAGTGCAAGTCTGGCTGCAGCGTGCTTTACAGTAGAACAGAGCAGTGTTCTGACCCTGTGGCCTTTGATTCTTCCGTAGGTTCCCACCAGCCAAAAGAAGGAAGGTGTTTATGATGTGCCAAAAAGCCAACCTGTAAGTGTAAGTACGCCTTCCCTCTATTGCACGTTCACGAGAAGACCACGTCTGCAGTCATGGGAAGGAGCTGCCCTCCTGGAATGCATGTCACTGCTGGGGACTCCTCAGGGGGCCGAGGACAGGAGGCAGGGTGCGGGGCTGAGGGGTGCTGAGCAGGGTTGCCAGGCTGGATGGAGGGAGGGAACCAAGAATGGCACTGGGTTGACTTGTGCAAACTGCTCTACCAAGGGGACTCCAGGGCCCAGGCAGAAATGGGAAAGTCTCCAGCCAAGGCCTTCTGCTGCCTGGTCCAGTAACGGACAGTGTTGTCTCTGGGGAGGGAGCTGCTCACCTAATCCATAAGTGGTTGACGCATTTCCTAAGGGCTGGTCAGGACTCCAGGATGTGCACAGGTCTGGCTCTGAGCAGGTCGCTGTGTAGAAGGCCGCTGCAGGTGTGCTGTGTTACAGACATGGTCAGGTGCATCTGGACCCCACCTCAGAAGACTCCTGGGAGTCTGAGCCAGAGAGGAAAGCCCCCAGCTCTGGGGTAGTGCAAGCCACTGCCAGTCTCACTCTTCAGATTTAAGGTCCCCCAGCTGGCCCCGGGAGGGAGCTGCTACACAGTTGAGCCACACTGGTGAGCCAGGAAAGGTTCCTGAGGGGGCTACATGTGATTTTTTCCATGGCCCTCAAGCAAAAGAAATGAAGGGGTCTTCCTATCACTGATCTCCGTCTTCTTATGCAGACCCTCAAGAACTCCAGTTCTGGCACCAACAAAGAGCTGTGAGGCTAAAATGATTCCCCCTGGAACATTGCCTTGTGAGCTGACCCCACACTGAGAGACACAGAGACACACCTGCTGGTTTCGAGATAAGATGACCAAGACCCTACTTCTCAAGGAGTAGTGGGCAGCCCTGCATTGTGTGTGGAGAAGGGCATCTAGGAGCAGGGCCACAGTGCTCCGTGTTCCACACCAGGGACCTGGGAACAGCGGCCTTGCTGAAGACAGTTGGTTCCAGCAGGAAGGGCAAAGGCCTTGCAGACAGGAACGACTGTCTGAGGTGGGAGTGGCAGCACCAAAGAGAGCAAGCATAGCCTCCTGGGAGCCAGGCCCAGTGCTGAGGGCAGCATCAGAGGCCAGTAGGCAGTCACCTCTTCATGTCCCTTGCAATCCAACATTCTGTACTCTGTGGGCCCAGCATTTTTCTAGTCATTCTCTTTTCCCCTCCTCCCTTTTCTGTGAGACATTTCTTCCTGATCAGTGGCCCTTTCTGTAGCCCTCCCTGCCCATGTCCTCAGACTACCCCACTCCACCAAAACATAGTTTCTGAAATCTGATAAACAGGCACATCCCCTCCCTAGCCCTTGTCTGGGCACCTTGGTCAGAGGGATGCTGCTCAGGGCAAAGACCATGTGTCCCCAGGCCCCCCTTCAAGCCCACTTTCACACCAAGACACAAGTCTGCTCTTGGAGTTTGCATTGGTCCATCCCTGTCACCCAGATCCTTTTTTTTTTTTTAATTTTATTTTAGCAGAATATATTTATTGAGGGAAAGAAAACTACTGCCTGAGAAAGGGTCAGGAGGGGGGCCCAAGCGGGTTGTCCCCAGGAAACTGTCTCTTCCAGGGACTTTTATAGAGTAAAACCATGCAGTGAGGCAGATCTGAGGTGGTGGAAAACATAGGAACTTGCTTAGGTGGGCTTGAGGTGAGACAAAACTATGGTCAACCAATGAGATTACAAGCACCATTGCTCAGCTAAAATTGATTAAATCCAGTATCAAATAGGGAAGCAAGTCATGTAGCAAGTGGATACGGGACCGGGTCCCTTCCTGCTAGGGGTTCGGTTAGGGACTCATTTGGGCTTTCAAGGCGATGATACCTGCCTAGAATATCAATCCCTAGGGAAGTATGTAGCTGTGTTTGCTTCCTCTTTTGTCTTGAGGTCTGGCCAATATGAGAGTGTCTGTCCCTTCCAAGTTGCAAAGCCACCTTGTCTTCCATATTGTCTCCTTGAGGGCTTGGCCCTGTCTGACTGCCTAGAATATTTCTATCTAATTTAGCTGCCTACAACATTTCCTCCTTTGAAGAAGTACTGCCACGAGGGAACCATGAACAATGACCGCATTTTTTTTTTTTTTTTTGCGGAACCAGGGTTTGAACTCAGGCCCTTGCACTTGCCAGACAAGTACTTATTCTACTGAGCCATCCCCCCAGCCCCACCTAGATCTTTTTGATTCAGTTTGTGTCCATGTCTCCTCATGCCAGGTCTAGTTGCTGGAGGAAGCAAATTCCATGTGGTGCCTTGGTTTCATTAAATTTATGAGCCATTCTGGCCATACGCTGTCCACGCTTCATGGCTCTGAGGGAACAAAATCCAAGTTCTTTAGCTTGACACATACTGCAAAGATCCGTGGCAAGCCTAGGGACCTTGAGTTTCCTGGAACTGCACCCCTCTGCAGCCCTCCCCCAGCACAGCACGAGTTTGTGCTCCCAGAGAGCCTTCTGCCCCCTGCTGCTCAGCAGGTGTCCCCTCACCCTGTTTTCCTCTGATAATAGAGCTTCCTGTGACCCGTCCAAGAGCTTCCTGAGGTCCTCTCGTTGCTGAGGCCAGGCACCATGTAACTGTTGCAGGGCTGCTTGATTAATAGACAAATGACTGTACCCTGCAAAAGCGATGTATGAAAATCACCGGTACATTACTTGAAAGTGAATATTCTCTTTTCTGACTTAAAATATTGTTCTTACCTAAAGGTACTGGAAGTCTTGTTTGGGTGGTACCTGGGCTGCATGGTTGTCTCTGATGACCCCCCCCCCACACACACACACACACCTGCAGTCCCCAGCTCTTGTCCCATCTGATATGATAACCAGCTTTCAGGAGTCATTTTCAGTATCCCTGGGAGACAGGAGATGAGGCACTCAGGCCATCTTGTAGACAAGCAGATACTGTCGCATCTGGGCTTTTTCTTTAGCTCTTGCGGGATTTGGGTAAGTTCTCTTGTGCCTGAGAGTAAGGGCTCTTAGGCACTCACAGGAATTATTGGGCCTAACTTGAGGAGAAAACATGTTAGAAAATTGGGCTCACTCACCTAAACTTCATGAGGTAATTCAGTCCCGCTCACCCCCAGTTCCCCTCATGGATTTCCCTTTCTCTGGCTGCACCTTCCCTGGGGCACCTTCATGCTCTGCAGGTCCACGCTGCAATCTTCCTGTATGTCCCTTCATCAGCTCTGAGTCAGAAAAACAGGCCGGAGTGAAGCCCATTGTTGGGTGTTAAGCTCAGAGCTGCTCTGCTTTCCGCAAGACGGGAGACTGCCCTGTGGCTTGTTACTCTGGGCTCTAGCTGGCTTCTTCCTTGTGTCCAGGTCTACGCAGGTGAGAGATGCTCCCTAGATCTCTCCTTGAAAGACTCCTGGCAGTCCTAATTAAAAAAAAAAAAAAAGCCCTGATTGTCAGAGTCAGATCTGGCCATTTTCTGAGAGCCACTGAGCAACTTTGGCATCTCATCCAGTGGCACCATCTGTTAAAAAAACAACAAAAAGAAAAACTGCTCTCTTTTAGCTCTTTTTCAAAGATTAGAAGGAGCATTTTTGCAAAACCCTCAGTGGAGGTCATGAGTTAAATGAAAAGAGGCCATTCCTGTGCGTCACTGTGGCAATCATACTGCCCCACTGAGGGACTGCATCCGTCCTGGGAAGCCTGCCTCCGCCACGGGGCAGGAGGCCCTCAGGAGCACCCTGTGTCTCTCCGCAGGAATCTCAGTGGATTTCCATTTCCTCCTTATGCATCCATGTGAGCCCTGGAGCTTTGGGTTCCCCACAAGGCCTCACTGAAATCATGTTTCCTGCAGCTCTGTGACTCCAGCATGTGCCTGTTATTTAGTTCCCATGGAGGACTAAGGTGGTGTCATTGCTCTAAAACTGATCTGGATTCAGATCCTGCCTTTATTATCAGCCAACGTGATCATGAATGAGTCTTTCGTCTTCCCATGTTAGAAAGGTGATAAGAAAACCAGATTGGTTGGCTCGCTGAATTCCAACTGTGTAATTGTATCAATAGCTGTGATTCCTCAGCATGGTTTATTAACAGGTGCTTGGTAAACATTGCACTGAATTGTTTGGGAGTGGTCACGTTTATGCCCTGCCTCCTGCATTATGGTTCATCAGGACAGGAATCAGCTTGCTGTCATGTGGTAATGACCAGGGGACACTGGTGCAGGGAGGTTGCTCCAGGAGTAAATGAGTGAGCAAGCGAGTCGCTGAGCACATGAACGGCTGAGTGAGTGATGAAGGAACCCATGGGTGTCCTTGCATGCAGAACTTCTCTGCTCCTCTTCCTGACGTCAGGCTGAGGCACAATTGCGCCCAGAGCAGCCCCAGCCCAGACCTTCCTGTGCTTGGCTTCAGCAGCCCATGGCCTCCTCTTATGCTCCCCCAAGAGTATCATGCCATGTTTCCTCCACAGCTCGGCTCACTGAGCCCCCCAGATGGCCTCCTGAACACATGTACAAGCGCACATGCCTACGCATACCTGCGTCCATTCTTCTATGTTGGGAATCTGCACCAGGTGGAGCCAGGACATTTTGCATGCTTGGCAGAGTTATTTAGAATTATTGTCCCCTGCAATCTCAGTCTCAAGGGTCTGTTTTGTTTCACTTTCCTGCCTGGGATTGGACATTCCTTATTGAAAGAAACCCAGTGGAAAGTGCTCAGGGCTGTCAGGATTCTTTATTTTTCAAGGAAAGGGACCTGTACATTTTGAACTGGAGGCACAGCACGCAATCTGATAGATGGAGGGTGGGCACAGCCCTCCTGAGAAGCCCTGTGTATAGCTTGCATGTCACATGGAAATATGGAGACAGGACATGGATCCAGTTAGCTTGCCAGATGGCTTTAAGAATATCTTTAATCCCTGGATGCTGAGAGTCGATCCAGACTCTTCTTGCCTTGTCACAGACCATGTAACATTGGAAATGACAATTACATAGTGTACTTCTCAAGCTACATGTAGCTGCAGACTT